TTATAAATTCAATTCAATAAGCATCACCATGCCAGGATTTAATTAAGTCCAACATCTGGGCTCAAATAGTCAACCTAATAAGTACAAGAAAGGAGAGGTGTGATTAGACAACAGTTCCTTACGAAAAGACATCCAGGGGTTTTAGTGGACTCAAAGCAAGTCAACAGTCTGAGCTATCAGCCAAAAAAGTGAATCTCATCCTAGCTTAGAGTGAAGAAGGCACAGTGTCTTCCATCTCCAGAGACCCTGAGGGGAGTCAAATCACTCACCCTGGTTAGTCCATGCTGGGGCAGGCTGAGTTATCCTGAGGGGTAAGTACAAACTCAGGTAGCCTGGTGCATCTGACAGCATCACTGGAAAAGGCATGAAAACTGATAGCCCTGTGGCCCCACTCACCATTGTTATGACTCCCCTCCCTACTGTCTTCTCTAACTATTTAGATGTGAGTTTCCTGAGGTTAGAAGACTTTCCACACTTTGACATTTGCATTCCCAGTGCCTAATTAAGAACCTCATAAGATACTTCAGAAATGCTTCCCTTCCCCCATATATTTGACACATTCATACAGAGTGAGAGTGCTCCCGCTGTACCCTGCTGTATTCAGTTCTGGCCAGACAAGATCTGGATTGCTGTCTTCTGTTTTGAGTGCCACGTTTAGGAAAGAAAAGTAGGACAAGGTAAGAAGAGGGTGAAGCAAAGGGAGAAGATGGGCCGGTCATCTGGAGACACGAGGATTGGTTGCAGGAACTGGAGATGTTTGGCCTGGAGAAGGAAAGCTTTGCGGGGGAAGGGAGGAGATGGTAACGATCTTCAATTGCGTGAAAGGCTATCCCTTGCAAGAAGGATTAGATCTGTTTTGCTTGGCCGCAGAAGACAGAGCTGGGAACAACGGGTAGAAAATGCAGAGAGGCACAGTTTAGCCCAACACAAGGAAAACCTTCCCAGTAATTGCGAACATCCATAAGAACTGCATTAGGAGACAGAGGGCTCACCCTTGCTGTTCTGAAGCAAAGGCTAAACAATCACTCACTGGTGGTTGTATGAAAAGGGATTCTTGTGCAAGCGTGGCTTACGCTAGATGACCTAGAGGTCCTGTCAGCTCCTTTTGTTGTTGGTCAGTCATTTCAATCATGTCCAACTCTTGGTGACCCCATCTGGGGTTTTCTAGGCAGAGATACTGCCGTGGTGTGCCATTTCCTTCTCCAGCTCATTTTACAGATGAGAAAACCAAGGCAAGCAGGGGTAAGTGACTTGCCCAGGGTCACACAGCTAGTAAGTGCCTGCAGCTAGATTTGAACTCAGGTCTTCTTGATTCCAGGCCTAGTGCTCTCTCCAGTAGGCCACCTAGCTGCCCCTTTTTCAACTCCAGAATACTGTGATTCAACGACAGCCTCACCTCGTAAACGTGGGTCCGCACGGCTAAATTCAGACAGTTTTTCCTTCCCCCTTATTTGAGATTCCTAGCACTTAGCATGGTGCTTTGTATCCAGTTGGTGCTCAATATTTGTTTAATTGAACTTAACTGATGCTACATGACAGAAGATGCCGTGGGGGAAGGTGGTGCTACATTATTTTGTTGCTGCTGTGACTAAATGTGATCAACTTGATAGAAAAAAAAATTTAGGCCTTTAAAAAAAAAACCTCAATACTCAAATACTTCATATTCCCCTCTCTGCTTCCCCCTCCCCTCCTGCTTGGACTCTTGAGGCGAAATACATGTAGTCGATTATTTATTCTCCTTTTAGATTAGGCACTTATAAAAACCTAGGAATAATCATATCAAAGGGTCATATAAACACATTTAAGAAACACAGAATCTTGACCATGAATAATTGCTGCAGGAAATGATTTACATTCATTACTAAACAAAATTTTCAATATGGGCAAAAAAATCCAGCAACATCCAGTTTGCTTTTTTGGCCTCACAACACTTTGAGAATATTAAACAAATTTATTGATATGGTTTATCCAATTTGCATACCCATAAAAAGGAACTTGGAGAGAGGGCAGCTAAACAGACAAATAACACAACAGCTTTTTTAGCTTTCAGAAACAAATTTGTGAGGTTAATAACTGGAATGGCCTTGGATTCAAGGTTAACACAGTCACATATTGCAATATAATTATCTAACCCTGACAAGGTCACCCAAATGGGGAGGTCAACTCACAGCTCTTATGCATTCTCAGGATGGAATAATTGATTTAAAGTACAAGAAGGAGATGGTTAGAAATGGCCCCTGACAATATTTTGAGTGATCTGATATACATACTCACTAGACCTCCTCACAGATGTTATTTTAGTTGGCCGGCCTTGAAAGGTACAAGTAGTGCTGCCTTTGGAATCCAAAACCCTGGGCTTGAACGTTGGCTTTGCTATGCACTGACTGTCAGACCATGGACAGCCTCTGAGCCCAGGTTACTCATCAATAAAATGAGATGAGGCCTGGGGGCATGGCAGCTTAAATGATCTCCGAGATCCTTTTCAGCTCTAAATCTACTTGGTATCTGTCCTGTATTTACCTTTTTATATACACATATTGTCTCCCTCTTTAGAATATAAGCTCCTTGAGGGCAGTGACTGTTTCCTCCCTTGTAAAACAAGGGGGTCAGACGAGATGATCTCTGAAGTTCCTTCTAGCTCTGACACTGGATGATTCTATGACAAAGCATTTCACATTCTTATAATTCCTAATGTAAGCATAAAACTAGGTATAACTGGGTTATATCCAACAATTTCTTAAAGGAAGACAAAGAAGATTTCATAATGCTACGTAATCCTATTCAATGCATAACCATAATTTAATACGCTCCTTTTCTCTTAAGTTTTAGGAGAAATGAACCACCATCTTGCTAAGCCAAGAGGCCTATGAAAAATATCTTGAGTGCATTTACTTGAATTCTTACTTAGATCTACACTAATGAGGTCACATATCAATAGAGAAAATGAAATTTTAATCTCCAAACAAGCTTATCTTCTAGATAAAACAATTTCATTTCATTAAAAATAATCCAGTTTGCATCTGGGTTCATATTCATTCTGAGCCAGCTGAGTATTTGCCAGTACAGCCCTGAATTGGTTTAGATTCAATCCTGTTTGAGAGTAGGGGCTTAACCAGATGAATTACTGGTATTCCACTAAAACAACAGAAAACCCCCCAAAACTATTTACATAGAACTTTGAAGTTTACAAAACCCTTCCCTAAAAACAATTCTGTGAAGTGGGCAATGCAATGGTAGTTATCTTCATCTTATATATAAGCAAACTGAGGTTCAGTTAGGTTAAAAAATTTGCCCAAAGAATAGTACCCCCATACTTTAAATGACATTATAAAATAGCAGTCATGAAAACCATCTGGCATTGATTAAGAAATAGAGTTAAATCAATTGAACAGACTAGAGGAGAGACACTCAGAAACAATAGAACTCAATAACCACTGGGTGTTGAAAAAAGTAGAAAACATAAATTACTTAGGAAAAAATTCCTATGTGATAAAAACTGTTAAAAAAAAAACCCAACTGGAAAGCCGTCTAGCAGAAATTACGGTTAGACTAACACCTTATACTATGTTCTACAAAACGTTCTAAATGGACGCACAACCTTAGTGTTAAAGATTATACTACTAAAAAATTATCACAGACCTCTCACAATTATGGCTAGGAGATGTATTCTTAACTAAACAAGAGATAGAGGCAATAACTTTGATTACATGAAAACTAAAAACTTCTGCGTAGACAAAATGAGTGCAACTAGGATAAATAGGGAAATGGTTGAATGGGAAAAAAATCTTTGTATCAAATGTCTTTGAAATGGGTTTGGTACCCTATATGTATAAATAACTAAAAATAAATAAAGCCTCCCCTTGCCAATCTTTCCTATTACTCTTGAGAGCAATGCTACTTTCTTAGTTGCTCAGGCCCACAATGTAGGAGTCATCCTGCATTCCTCACAATCACTTACCCCCATATCCAAGCTGTTGTGAAGGCCTATTGATTTCACCTTTGCAATATCTCTTTCATATGCCCCCTTCTCTCCTCTGACACCCTCATCACTCTCGTGCAGTCTCCTCATCACCTCACACCTGGACTATTGTATCAGACTGCTGCTGGGTCAGCCTGCCTCAAGTCTCTCCCCATTCCAATCCATCCTCCATTCAGCCACCAAAGTGACCATGTCACCCCTTCCCCCTGCTCAACATACTTCAGTGGCTCCCTGTGGCCTCTGGGATCAAACACAAAATGCTCTGCCTGGCATTCGAAGACCTTTGTGGTCTAACCTCCTAACTTTCCATTCTTCTTGCACTTTATTCACTGCCACCTACTCTTTAATTCAGTGACAATGGCCTCCTGGCTGTTCTAGGAACAAGACTCCATCTTTTAACTCTAGACGTTTTCTCTAGATGGCCTCCTCCATGCCTGGAATGATTTCCCAAATCCCAATAAATCCCAAATGAAACTCCCATTTTTTACAGGAAGCTTTTCCTAACCCTTCTTAATTCTAGTATCTTTCCTCTCTTAATTATTTGCTATTTATCCTGCGTATAGGTCATCTGTACATAGTCATTTGCTTGTTGCCTCCCCCTTATGAGCTCACTGAGGGCAGGGACCCTCTTTTGCTTTTTTTTTTTTGTATTGCCAGTGCTTAGCACAGTGGCTTGCACACAGTAGATGCTTAATAAATGTTTACTAAGTGATTTGCCCAGTATTATACAGTCATTAGGCACCACAGACAGAACTTGAACTTGGGTTTTCTTCACTCCAAGGGCAGCCCTCTATCCACTACATCACACTGCCTGTTATGAGTAGTTAGGCCATATATATGAATGTGTAGTAGAAATGTATTCTTTATTTAACAGCTGATGAAATATTTCAGTGAATTTTCAAAATCAAAAAAAGTATCTAAGTTAGGACTCAAACCTAGGGTTTCTGACACAGTTCAAAAGCTTTGTGTGATTTATGTTTGAAAATCATTGGGATAAGAGCAAAAATTCGCTAATAGTTACCTGTAGGAGAGGCCGCTGCACTCCCAGTACTTTCATGGTATCTGCATTAGCCAGGATCTTTAAAGGGTCAGACGTTTTGGTGACTCCTTCAATCTCTTTGTTGATTTCAGTCAAGACCTGGTTGAGGAATATGTTTTTGATATACATGGTGAGAAACTCTCGAAGAGGGCACTGTTTGGCTGGGCCAAGTCCTAGTGCATGCTCGATCTCTTGAATAAACCTAGAATAGAGGAGAGAAATCACATGTAACAAACTCATTGAATAAAGGGGTCAGTTATAAAAATGCTTCACAATTCTTTCAAAGTTATCACTGGACTTAGGGCAATTCTATAGAGCAAATGGGGGAAATTCCCAAAATGTCAATTTTCTAGGTGGAATTCTTAAGAAGAGAAGTCTACAGTGAGATTATCTTCCATTTATCTTGTATGAACTGTTATTCTGCCTGTTGTCTCCTCCATTAGAATATGATGTTCTTGAGATCAGGGACAATTTCTTTTACCTTTCTTTCTATCTCCATTGCACCTTGTGTGATACATATTGAGAACTTAATAAAGTCTTGTTGATTGAGAACTGACTACAACCATTACTATCACTGGACTTTTGTTTTTTTAATTTAGGAAACTCTAAGGGTGACCAGACAAACCTAACTACAAATTTCTGGGGTAGCACAGCCAAGATTGTTACGGTAGAAGTTACCCATGACAAGAAAATGGAAATGGCCAGACAAAGAGAAATCTTTTTAAGGCCTCTCAATTTATATGTTTAATACCATCAAGGATGCAGAAGAAGGCAGACAGGGTGACTAGTCCAACTGTAAGATGGCAAAAAACACTTAAGGGAAGCTTGAACAAGTTGGTGAAGAAAATGGAGAAGCAAGCTGGAGAGTTAAGAGGAAGAACAGTTTTTAGAGGTATCTATTGGCCAGTCATTGCTGGTTAGAGGACACTGGTGAGATTGTTGTTTCATTTGAGTTTGCAATCCCCATTTCCCAGTACACCTAACCTCTCCAGTCTTAGCCAGCCTGCAAAGAAATCCCTGTTCTCCCTTGACTCACTTTTGAAAGCAAATTACCTTTATGAATATGATAACAATGGACTCTACCAAAATTTCTTTTTCAAAAAGGGAAATGTGGTTATGGGGATCAAATATCAGAATTACAATTAACTGATTTACTCTTTTCAAAGGAATGGTTGGAAAAAGTGTCTTTTGAACAAACACTTTTTGAACATTAAGTGCTTCTGACATTTCCAAAGCTTGTAACATTTATTAGAGAGTTTTTTTTTTCTTCACTGGTCACCATGCCCCTAAAGAAATCGATACAATGCTCTTAATTATCTCTGTATTTTTTTTTTTCCTTCTCAGTTCCTTGTTTGCCTTTGGTGTCTCTAGAATACAAAACTTCTTTGAGTAGCACTGATGGAGTACCTCCTGTCAACTTTAGCTGAGTGGTTTCTTTCAAACACAAACCATTTATTCCCTAAAGCTTATAATATGTTGACTTCATCAGTCTAAAATGACATATCCAGGTTGATGTTGTCATCTCTAACTTGAGGGGACCCATTTAACATAAGTTTCCAAATCTGCTCTCAGAACTAGGAGGGACCTCAGTGTGTAAAGGAATTAAGAAAGGAAAAACAAGAGAGAAAAGAAGAAACAAACAAGAAAAACTCCACAAAAAAAGCTGCCTTACCAGCTCCTTCTTTACCCCAGTCAGTAACAGTAAGAAACTCTGTTAAACTGAAAAACTGCCTTTTTCTGAGCAGAGAAGACACACAGATCAGGGGCAATGTTTGCTTATTGAGGAAGCCATCGATGTCTGGGCAGAATGGCATTTGTTGGTATTTCCTCATAAGACTGGAGGAAGAAGTAGAGGCAAGAAGAAATACTGACCCATATTTTTTTTTCAACCTCTTTTAATCTCATTTGGCCACATTATAGAATCTCAGACTTGGAAGGGCCCTGACAGCCCATCTAATTCAACCCTTACTTGAAAAAGAGTTCAATTCTCAATACCACTGACAAATTCACTCTGCCTTTTCCTAAATCCTCCAATGAGGAGATTCTCCAGCTTGTTACTTCTGATTGAGAGGTTCAGAGGATCTCAGAACTGGGAAGTCCTCAGATTTTCTTTGAGGTACAGATTTCCTGATCATAGGACTTAGAAATAACCAGTATACTTTCTTTAACTTCTCTGAGGGTTGTAGGTTTGTCATTTTCTGAAAACAAAAATACCCAAGTCCAAATGGTTCTCTAAATAAAATTAATCTAGATAAAAGCAACAAAGCAATTTAACATACAGACAAAAAAATCCATCTGATTTTGGAAATATGAAACAGATGATCTAGTTCCTTCCTTCTGAGGGCTTTTCAACTCTGTACAAGTATTTGTTAAATGCCTCCCCATGATCTTTGACTCAGATAAAGGAACCTGATGTTTTATAAAGGTGGTAGTTCACCAAATTGGCTTATTTTAAAAAATACATATTTTAATTTATTTAAATATTTCCAAATAACATGTAAAACAATTTTTAACAATCATTTTTAAAAATTTTGAGTTCCAAATTCTTTCCTGCCCTTGCACCACTTCCCTGTTCCTTGAGAAAGCATGCAATTTGATAGCAGTTATACATGTAAAGTCATACAAACATATATCCATAGTAGCTATGTTGTAAAAGAAAGCACAGACAAAATAATAAAGCAAGAAAAAGTTAAAAAAAGTAAAAAAAACCAACAGAACAGTTTGCCTTAATCTGCATTCAGAATTCATCAGTTCTTTCTCTAGACGTGGATACACCTTTTCATCATGGGGTCTTTGGAACTGTCTTGGTTCACTGTCTTGATTACAGTAGCTAAGTCTTTCACAGTTAATCATTCTTACAATATTGCTGTTACTGTGCTCAATGTTCCCTTGGTTCTGGCTCACTCTATTTTGCATCAGCTCTGAAGTTTTTCTGAAGTCTGCCTGCTCTCATGTCTTATAGCACAACAGTATTCCATCACAATCATATACCACAACTTGTTCAGCCATTCCACAATTGACAGGCATCCTTTCGAGGTCCAATTCTTAGCGACCACAAAAAGAGCTGTTATAAATATTTTTGTACAAAAAGGTCCTTTTCCCTTTTCTTTAATCTCTGTGGGATCCAGACTTAGTAATGCTAGTGCTGAATCAAAGGGGATACAATTTTATAGCCCTTTGGGTGTAGTTCCAAATTGTTCTTCAGAATGGTTGGACTAGTTCACAACTCAACCAACAGTACATTAGAGTCTAAATTTTTCCACATTATCTCCAGCATTGGTCATTTTCCTTTTCCATCATGTTAGCCAATCTGATAGATGTGAGGCAGTATCTCAGGACTGTTTTAATTTACATTTTTCTAATCAGCAGCGATTTAGAGCAGTTTTTCCTGTGACTACTGATTGCTTTGATTTTTTTTTTTCTGTGAACTGCCTGCTCATATTCTTTGACCATTTATCAGTTGGGGAATGACTCTTATTTTTATAAATTTGAATCAGTTTCCTATGTTGTTGAGAAATGAGGCCTTTATCAGAGAAACTTGTAACCCCCTCCTTTCCTGTTTTCCTTCTAATTTTGGCTACTCTAGTTTTGTTTATGCAAAAGCTTTTTAATTTCATGTAATCAAAATTATTTATTTTACTTTCTATGTTCCTCTCTATCTCTTGTTTGGTCAAAATCTCTTCCCTTACTCCACAGATCTGATAGGTATATTTTTCCATGATCTCCTAAGTTATTATGATATCACCTTTTATGTCTAAATCATTTATCCATTTTAAGCTTAACTTGGTATATATGGTGAGAGATGCTGGTCTATGCCTATTTTCTGCCAATCTGCTTTCCAGTTTTCCCAGTAATTTTTGTCAAGTAGTGAGTTCTTACCCCAAAAGCTTGGATCTTTGGGTTTATCGAACACTATATTATTATGGTCATTTACTACTGTGTATTATGTGCCTAATGTAATCCACTGACCCACCACTCTATTTCTTAGCCAGTACCAGATTGTTTTAATGATTACCACTTTGTAAGATAGTTTGAAATCTGGAACTGCTAGGCTGCCTCCTTTCACATTTTTTTTTTCATTGATTCCCTTGATATTCTTGACCTTTTGTTCTTCCAGATGAATTTTGTTATTTTTTCTAACTTTTATAAAGTTTTTTTAGTAGCTTGATTGGCATGGCTCCGAATAAGTAAATTAAATTAGGTAGAATTGTCATTCTTTCTATTGGCTTAGCCTACACATTAGCAATTAATATTTATCCAGTTGTTTAGATCTGCCTTTATTTATGTGAAGTATTTTGTAATTGTGTTCAAATATTCCCTGAGTTTGTCTTGGCAGGTAGACTCCCAAAGATTTCATATCATCTGTAGTAATTCTAAATGGAATCTTCTCTTTCTATTTCTTGCTGGCAGGTTTTGTTGGTAGCATATCCAAACGCTAATGATTTATGTGGGTTTTATATCCTTCAACTTTGCAGAATTTATTACTTATTTAAACCAGTTTTTTAGTTAATTCTCCAGGGTTCTCTCACCATATCACGCAAAGAGTGATAGTTTTGCTTCCTCATTGACTATTTTTAAATTGTTCCTTAAATATTTGGTGGAATTCATTAGTCAATCCATCTGGTCCTGGACATTTTTTCTTAGAAAGCTCATTTATAGTTTGTTCAATTTCTCTTTTTAAGACAGAGTTATTTCTAAGTATGTATTTCCCCTTCTGTTAATCTGTGAAGTTTATATTTTTGTAAATATCCATTTCACTTAAATTGTCAGTTTTACTGGCATATAATTGGGTAAAATAGCTCCTAATAATTGCTTTAATTTTATCTTTATTTGTGGTGTATTAATCCTTTTAATTTTTGGCACTAGTAATTTGGTTTTTTTTTTTTTTTTAAATGAAATTAACCAATAATGTATCTATTTTATTATTTTTTTCCTATTAAACCAGTTCCTAGTTTTATTTATCATGTCAATGTTTTTTTTTTTAATTTCAATTTTATTAATCTCTCCTCTGACTTTGGACTTCCATCTTGGTGTTTATTTGGGGATTTTTAATTTGTTCTTTTCTGGCTTTTTTTTTTTTAACTTTCATACCCAATTATTAATTGGTTCTTTCCCTACTTTACTGATGCAAGCAACTAGAGATAGAAATTTTCCCCTAAGCAATGCTTTGGTTGTATCTCACAAGTTTTGATATGGTGTCTC